TTGTGATTACTTATGTGACCTCCGTCCTGTAGGGGGAGCCGGTTGTCCGTCCGAACTTTTAAATTTCAGTCCCGGAACAGCTGGAACAAACCCGAGCCAAAATAAATAATCAATAAATAGGCAAACCAGCTGAGATAAATAACTTCCAGACGAAGGTGCCGCCAGGTTTAATGCGACAAACAGGAAACTGATCAGGAACGCGCCCAATCGGCGATCCTCAAGTCCGTAACAGTCCAGAGTCCTGACACTTCAAAGGGATTGACAGGGAAGGGAGCCGTGCTCCTCACGCAGGCCTCCCCTCTCCTCTTCCTCCTCCTCTTTGTCATTTCCTGCCTTCATCCAGGGGTGTGACAGAATCTCCTCCAGAGTGGGACGATCCTCCGGCTGGAAGGAGAGACACCAGCGAATGAGAGACTGGCATCCTGGTGGGAAAAACAAAAGAGAAAGGATGTGAAAAACTGGACCACATATTTAGGAGGGGGTCATGTGACCCTGAACCCCACGGTCATTGTGAAGGAGGAAACTCCTGTTTGAGAAGAACCTGATGCTCACCTGTTGACACCCGCCTGGTGAAGCTGGGGCAGGCTCTGTAAATCTCCATGTCGTGCTCAAAGGGAATGTCGCCGCAGACCATGTCGAAGAGCAGAACCCCCAGAGACCAGACGGTGAGGGGGACGGCCTCGTAGCACTGCGATGCGATCCACTCGGGGGGGCTGTAGACCCGAGTTCCTAAGGACGCAGGAAGTGAGACGAGGAGGGTTACAACGTGAAACTTGGAGGCACTGAGAGGGATTTTGTAGGGGGAGGGTGAGAAGAAGCTATGGGTTTATGGGTTCAGAGTGACTGGGTACCTTGAAACTCTCTGTACGGTGTGTCTTTAAGCACCGCCCCCGACCCGAAGTCTATGATCTTGATATCCATCGTTCTCGTGTCTACCACTATGTTCTCGTCTTTGATGTCCAGGTGCACGACGCCGCGGGAGTGAATGAATCGAAGCGCTTCGACCACCTGATGGAAAATCCTATCGGGAAGAACAAAGAACCAGGACGTTAGCGAAAATGACCTCAGCAGAACGCAGTAGGATCATTCAAAGGTGGCGGACGGGAGCGCAAACCTGAGTGCGAGGCTTTCAGACAGCGCTCCTCTCTCCGTGATGAAGTCGAACAAATCCTGGCAGTGCGGCGGCCTCTCCATCACCAGCAGGAAGCCCTGCCCCTCCACCTCGAACCAGTCCAGCATGCGGATGACCCCAGGGTGGCCCCCGTCCTCTGACAGCTGCTGCAGCAGAGCAATCTCCATCGGAACGGGATTGACCTCATCTGGCTGAGGGGAGGAAAGAGGAAGATCGATTATAAATTATAAAGAAATAATCTGTTAAAGTAGATCATGTCCTAATTTTTGTTGTTGTTGTTTTTTTAATTTCTAGTTTTTAAATGAGTCATAGCGGGAATCATAGTGACTGATACTAATATGCAAATTAACTGACTCTGTTTTCAGGACTTTCTGAGTCACACGTTTGGGTTTTTAAATCAGAAACTCCAGCCTGGTGTTTTTGTGCCCTGAATACTCGCCTACAGGTGGCTTCAGGTGTTTTTTGCATTGGTGGGGAAACCCAAATGAATTCGCAATGAATAATAAATGACTAAAGAGGTGGTGGTGATAGTGGGGAAATCCTGAGGTGTCATTTACCAAACCGTGACGTTACACATTTCCCAACCACCGCCCACACCTGCAGTTCACCGGAGCCACCGGCAGAGGGCGGAGCTAAACAATCTGAGCTTTGTTTACAGGCGTCACTCAAAACACCTCGTGCGTTTTGGTACACATTTAGTTTATAAATAAATTATCACTCACCAGTCTGGTCCACTTTTGAACTCTGTCAACGGCAATTTGCTTAATGGCAACCTGGATGGACAAAAAAGAAGTAAAATATTAAATAAAAATCGGAATTCTCGAGCAATAATAATGGAGAAAAGGCGCATCTCTTACAATGAACAAACACAGGCGGGTATTATTTACCTGTAGTCCATCGGAGAGCCTCTGGCCTGAAAACACGGAGCCAAAACCTCCGCTGCCGAGCAGAGGACCGCAGCGATACTGACTGAGGAAGGGCTCCTTCACTGAGGGCCAAAACACAAGGGTCACATCAGTGCATGGCTCACACTTACATTCCCCAACAAGACAACAGAAACTCAAAATACCTTAAGGTTTCTACCGATGTACACAAAATACGTCACTGCGCACATTTATTTTTAGTTTACAACTCCGATATCTGTCTGATATTCCAGTTTCTCAAACTAAAATAACCGAAATAACCGTTTATAACGTCGGACTAATGCACTCCAACAAATCCAGCGGGACTTAATATTTTAAAAGCGCCACCTTTAACGGTTTCCCTTTTTAAATTTCAGCGATTTTAAACGTTTCACAGCCCCTGAGCGGGCTGTTAAAATCGCTGTTTTTTGCATGCAGTCTGGCTGCAGCGTGCAAAAGCAGCTACTGCGTTTTGGAGGCAAATTAAACCAGTTTACACGTCCTTATTTGACATGTTTAATCACACATATAACCTTTCTTGTAGTTCTCACCGTTCTTTCCTCGGACTTCTTCCTCCAAGTCGAACTCCATGGCTCTCTTATCCAGCATTTTGTAAAGTGTTCCGTCAAGTTGAAGTTAATAAAAGTCCATTCTCCTGTAGGCGGAATAGCTCTTCAGATTTTTAATGATGATTTTCCGTCTTTAACCGATTAAAGCGTTATGCTTTTAAAATCCCAAAGTCAAAAAAAAGTCCTTTAAAGATATTTACTCCTGGTTAATGCGGTGGAAACGCGTTCACAGAAGAGTCAAAACCCTGTTAACTAACCCGCTCAGTCTCTGTTGACCGCCTTCGCTGCTCTACTACAGTGTTTTGTTCCTTATTTAAAGCGATCTAACGCTGCCCCGCCCACTACACCCTCACTGTCCAATCAGCCGTGTCAATCAGCGGAGCCGTGTGCTCAATGTTTTGAACCGGCTACATTCAAGTCGCGCCTTCATGAATATTCAAATCCCGCGAGAAGAATTCGTAGAATTTGTTTCAACGAACTATCGGAGGAAGCGCGCGCTGATATCTTGACGGGAAAGAGCGGGGCGGTTTCCCCTCAGGGACACGCACGCGCGCACACACCGAAACCAGCGGTTCCTCAAAGAGTCGGCTTTGTTGAGCTTCTGTCAAAGTGACGAAGTTTTGTTACCTGCTGACTGGGGTCGCGCCTCATTATAAATGCGGTATTTTTAAACGGTGAAAGCGATAATTACGAGAAGGTCGAAATAAGACAAGTGAGTGACAAGAATCCGTCCGAGAGGACCGCAGACTGCCCTGAACCAAAGAAGCTGCTCAGTCTGAGCTTCTTACCACAGAATCAAGTAATCCCATCATTTAACTGACGTCAGATTTTTTTAAGTTTTAAACTTTCCCACAGCACGAAGCTAAAACCTTTCTTAGACTTTAAACCTTCCTGCAGGGCTTTTTACAAATTAATCTTAGCGTTTACAGGAACATACAAACGGTCACATTTAAATAAAAAACGCTGCCTGCGCCTCTTTTAAAAGCTTAAAACACATTTGCTGCTGATAGTGCTCATGCTCTTAGATATAGGATTATTAAGTTTATTATTATTATAAGCGCTGTGTGTTTGTCTAAGTGCTGTAAATATAGCTGATTTATTGTTTTAATCCGTTTTCTTTGGACTAAAAGAGAACAACTTTTTTATTGGTTCAATTACCTGTAAAAGTGTGTGTGTGGGGGGGGGGGTTAAAAGTAAACAGAAAGCTTTGAGAAGTTAGTAATTTTAAAGCAGTAGCATGCATGTTTACAACCACCAGTCAAATTTAATAAA